CTGAAATTTACTTTAACTCATGTTTAAACAAGTCAATGAGTGTTGTATCACTACAGAAATTTACATTTACTCAAGTCTAAACAAATCCTTAAGTGTTGCCTGGGTACAGAAATTTACTTTTACTCAAGTCTAAACAAGGCTGTTTACATACATTTACACACCAGCATTTAATAATTTGTATGAACATGTACAATAATGTGCTGGAAAAAGAAATTTACTTTTACTCAAGTCTAAACAAATCCTTGAGTGTTGCCTGGGTACAGAAATTTACTTTTACTCAAGTCTAAACAAATCCTTGTGTGTTGCCTGGGTACAGAAATTTAGTTTTACTCAAGTTTAAACAAGTCCTTGAGTGTTGCCTGATTAAGATGTGTAGAATCTATTGATGGGTGTTATATAGACGGAGTAAACACGGCAAAAGTATAATTACTCATTTTGTAAAATAAACTGGGTGTGTACACTGCAGGTTAAGTACAGTTTAAATATGTCATTGACTGTTTGATTTGTGTTCATTACATATTAAGTAGGAGATGTATAAATTAAGGTTACATTTTTTTATTGTCTTGTTTATTGTCTTGTTTATTTGGTCATCAACCATTATACGTTTGCTTTTTTATATTTTTTTAAAGTTCTTGTTTTGTCAGCAGAATTTTTAAGAACAGGTATATGGATAAGGTGCAGTATTTTCTTAAACTAAAGAGCATTGCAAAATACCATCACTTGCAAGATAATTTTTCCAAAAGTCACTTCACTCATAAAGAACATTTGAAATATAACATTAAGACTCGACTTTATGCAATTTATTCATTTATTAATGCAACTGTAGATGATTTAAAATTAAGAGACAAAGGACTTTTTTGTGCAACGAAATAATCAGTGTCCTCAGTATAGTCAACCGTCTGCCACTAAAGGCATAAATGGAAAAATCTGACAAGAGATGGAAACATCCATCACGTCGGTGAAATGATGACGGCTTGTCGTCATTACGTAAGTGTAGAGAATGCGTTTCTTTAGTTGGCCCAGCAATACACCCTGGTGCCATCTTCCAGATACCATTCGTCGTAACAACCGCCACAGAAGCTAGAACTGGAGAAAAAAAAATATTTATTTCAATATGAGTCTTTCATTACACGAGCTGCATTTCTACAAATACAACATGCATACGCAAAACTACGTTTGTATTTTCAGCTGGGGTTTTTAAATATAAACAAATAGGTTTTTATAAAAGATCAATTCAATGCATTCTTAGAATATTGGCACACGCATACAAGAAAGCCCGCAAATCGTTCCAGTGTGATACAGAAATACAGACTGAAAATCTGAATCAAATACCAGATCAAACCACGTGAGACTTAATGAGTATGTAATACCATATTTAACCCCTGTTTGCTAGCAAAGGGTCATCAATCTACATTGACTTATGGCATATGTAACTATCTGAAAAAAACCCCATATATTGCATTGCTATGCGCCCTACAGAAAGGAACATATCCAAACAGATCATACGTTACATTACCTAGCAAGATGAGAATAAACATATATTCAACGACATTTGTCACATTACGTTTTTTTTCAATTTAAATTGTTCACACACCTTTTTCTTTTGAAACAAGGTCATCTTGTCATAATGAAAGTTGCTATACTAAATAAATATCAGGTTATGTAACATGCTTTCTCATTGGTCGCTTGATTTTTTGCTTGCTATCGACAGTCACTCTTTTAACTGCAAAAGCAGGATGTTATTTTCAGATGATCTTTACACGTATATTGGTTTTAACTGAACGTTTAATCAATTAAACATCAAATATGGCTGCCACATTGGCCATCTTGAAAATCTTGTTATGGATACTCCTAAACTAAACATTACATCGACCAGAGTTGTCTTTGCCCGAAGACTTCTTATGGTGTCCAGTTACTACTCTTAATGAACGAAGCCAATCTAACGTCCAATATGGCCACAGTTGCGGCCATTTTGCCAATTGCGTTCTCACAACTACTTTTAAATGGAATATCACGTTGTTCACAAAGCATATGCACTCCTCTGCTCATTAATAAAGAAATCAATGGGTTTATGAGGGAAAATAAAAGTTTGTGTTTATTTTTAAAAAAAACAACAACAGGTGTTTAATTTGCAATTATTGCGAGAGGGATGGGGGGGGGAGAGAACTTACATGCAAGTTGCATCACTATGTAAGGGGCATCCACGTTCTTGTTCTTCAGCACAGGGATCTATGTCACACGTTGTAATGGGCTCGCCTTCAGGACAATGAGGTCGTACGACAGCACCTACTTTTAAGGAAAACAGATCTCTAAAATTGACAACAATATAGTAGTTCAAGGACCAATAATTTTGTTAATATTTATATTTGTGGATGTTATGCTTTCCCATTTGTATCCATCAGTGAGAGCCAGGAAGAGATTCCTGCATGAAAGAAAAAATTAGATTAAAATATGAACATAATGGTTTATAACATCAAGAAAAAAAGATAAAGAAAACTAATTTTAAACCAAAGAAACAAACATGGCATTTTTAATCTTACTTGAATCATTTGAGAGCAAATTACATGCATATAAATGTTTTGAGTTTGCTTCTTTCTCGTTAGAGACTTTATTTCTAATGTATCTACTGATAATAGAACAGAGGAGCGCATGTGATGATCTCTTGTTCTCTCTCCATCATCTAATGGCAATGGTCTGTGGTGCTTTTGTCCGTTAACACAAGTTTGTGATCATTACTAATCTAAGTCTAGTTGGTCCTAAAAGAAAATGGTGTCGTCTGGACATCCAATATCGTCTCCACTTCAGCCATCTTGAAAATCTTGTTACTGTTATTCCACCAGAAAGGATAATCATGTCAACACGGGAATTTGGAGAGCACTGAAAGGCTTCTATTCTGTTTATGTGGGTCTTAAAATTAAAATGGTACCGATCTAACCTCGAATGTGGCTCTTAAGGCAGCCATCTTGAAAATCTTGTTACCAATATCTCAGGGCAGAAAGGTTGATCGTGATCAGTATGTTGGTTTTACTAGACAACTTCTTGCGATAATTGTGAAAAACTTTTCATTAACATGGCAGTGTTTACTTTTGTAAGAGATTCATTCATTCCACACGGTATCGAAAGCATTTCGTATATCAACAAAACAAGCAAAAATCTATTTACACACAATATATACTTTTAATGAAATATACGGTAAAAATTTTAATCACTTGTTATATATCTAGCTCTGAAGCTATTTTAATAACAACATCATTAAGTATGTCAATATATTCCTGTAGTCTTTAATTTAAATTCTTTCATAAGACTTTATGAAGGCAGCAGTAAACAAGAATGCCTCTCTGATTGGACGTACTATCTGCATGGCGTTCTTCCTCCACCAGTTATACTAGCCGCCATGCATTTTCTATCTTTCGATGAGAAATGGCGTTAAACCCAAAACAACATCACCAATAGTAAAGCCTTGCTGATTTTACAAATAACTGTTTACATTAAATCAGTAAAATAACACAGCAATACGCAAGAGACATATTGACCGACTGATGCAGCAGTAAAAACGAGACAAATTGCCTAACTGACTCACAGTAAGTAAAAGACATTGCCTGATTGATACAGCAGTAAGAAAGAGATATATTGACTGATTGATACAGCAGTAAGAAAGATATATATATATTGCATGAATGACAAAGCAGTAAGAGACATGTTGACTGACATATTGCCTGACTGACACATAAGTAAGGAAGAGACCTATTGCCTGATTGACACTGCAGTAAAATCATATTGCCTGACTTACACTGCAGTAAGGAAGAGACATTACCTAATTGACACAACCGTAGGAAAGAGACGTATTACCTGATTGACACTGCAGTAAGAGACATATTGCCTGACATTACCTGCTTTTTAAAGCATATAAGTCTCGTTGAGGCGAATTTGAACTTTCCATATCTGGACAGTCATATCATTGCCATATATGGTAGTCATGTCATTACCATATATGGACAGTCATGACCTTGCCATATATGGACAGTCATATCATTGCCATATATGGACAGTCATGTCATTACCATATATGGACAGTCATGTCATTACCATATATGGACAGTCATGTCATTGCCATATATGGACAGTCATGTCATTGCCATATATGGACAGTCATGTCCTTGCTTTTCCTGCCATTGCCACCTCTTTGTTTTGCTTATATCATGATCCTCCATCTTAATTGTTTACATTTTCGCTCTCATAAATTCTCTTTCCTCAAGCAAACTATGAACTCTTTTATTCATCCAAAATTTATTTTCATATTGGACGTGGTTATCGTCAGGTAGAAGATCACCTCCCCCACCCCATTCCCCCCTCCTCTCTCTCTCTCTCTCTCTCTCTCTCTCTCTCTCTCTCTCTCTCTCTCTCTCTCTCTCTCTCTCTCTCATGTTTTCTTGATAAATTATGGTCCGGAACAATAATGATATTGAAGGCATATGTATATACGGATATACAATTAAACTTGAACATTAAAAACATGACACAGCTTGTCTGTTAGATGGATCGGACAAATCTTCGTATACGTGAATAGAAACATTAGTTGTATCATGTTCGGGATTAAATATTAATATCAACAACATAAAACTGGTGATAATGGGAACATTATATAATTCCCGTACACAGATGTGTACAAATTTATGATTTGATTGGGTTTCTAATTTCTTTTTATGAAGAGTTGAGTGAGGTATAGATGGGTGTGCGCGCGCGCGCGCGCGTGTGTGTGTGTGATTTGGATGATTAATGTAGCTTTAAAAATTTTCAGTCATATCGCTATAATGTCTGCAGTGTGGCCCTTTATAGTGATTTCTAGCACTGTGGTATCACGATCCTAATGCAGACATGTGCCATGATGTCACACCCAGTCACGTTATCCTGACACCAAGCCGACAATTCCTAATACTAACTTCTTTATACTGAGAGCCTATAAAGGTAGCTGTTAGTACCATTATTATAAGTCTTTGGTATGATTAAGCTAGGGTTCGAACCCGCGACCTCTCGCATTCTAGGCGGATGCTCTAACCACTGGGACCACCGGAGCGATTCAGTAATGTATAGATACAGAAGTGATTGTGGAAATGACATGTTTGAAAATAAAATACAAAATACATATAAACCTCGAGAGACACGGAATTAAAGAAAATTAAATTTTTTTTTTTACACATTCATGTGGAATAACGGTTCTGGTAAAGAAGAAAAGTCATTAATAACTTAAACGAAGGTGTATTGCGTATTAAATATCTTGTATATTTATAAATTCTATAAAAATGTATTTTATAAGGCACCTGCTGATTAATCATTTTTAATGTTAGGATATAAATGATCACTTCTCAATAAATGTGAGTTGTGATATTATATTTTTTTCCAAATAAATAATTTTGCAAATATCGGAATTATCCAAAAATATTTTAAAAAATTCCTTTTAGATTCATGTACTTCATTGATAAAATTTATGAGAAATATAAAAAATTCATTAAAGTTTAAATGAGGGCATCCGGATGATACAAATACAACGATTAACCCATCGACACATTTGGTATTAGTCGTGGTTTTCAAAGGAGATAAAGTTGTATACCATTTTTTGATGAGATTTTTGTGTTATATATTTCTTACCCAAGATGACAGTTTTATTGTATTATAAAGTTTTATTGTATTATAAGTGAGCTGAAGTTCTAATTTTACAAAAGTGTATGAAAATAAAGTATATAAAAGTCTAAATTTCACACATTTCATGCAATATTTTATATTTATACTTTACAATTTTCATGCTATATTTTATATCCATACTTTACACAGTTCATGTTGTATTTTATATCTATACTTTACACATTTCATATTATATTTTATATCTATACTTTACACATTTCATGCTAAATTTTATATCTATACTTTACACATTTCATATTATATTTATATCTATACTTTACACATTTCATATTATATTTTTATCTATACTTTACACATTTCATGCTATATTTTATATCTATACTTTACACATTTCATATTATATTTTATATTTATACTTTACACATTTCATGCTATATTTTATATCCATAATTTACACATTACATGCAATATTGTATATCTATAATTTACACATTACATGCTATATTTTATATATAGTATACTCCACACATTTCATGCTATATTTAATATCTATACTCTACACATTTCATGCTGTATTTTTCATCTATACTTTACACATTTCATGCTATATTTTATATCTATACTTTACACATTTCATGCTAGATTTTATATCTATACTCTACACATTTCATGCTATAATTTATATATATATATATATATATATATATATATATATATATATATATATATATATATATATATATATATATATATATATATATATATATATATATATATATATATACTTTACACATTTCATGCTGTATTTTATATCTATACTTTATATATATGGGGCCCCGAGTGGCCGAGTGGTCTAAAGCGCTGTCCGTTACGGATCACTGCCATCTCACCTCTGTCTGCGTGGGTTCGAGTCTAGGATTCGGCGAATGTGGATATGTGAGAAAGCTTGCCAGTAGCTTCTCGTGGGTCGGTGGTTCTTTCCGGTGAGTTCCCGGTTTCTTCCTCCACCATTAATACTGGCCGCCATGAATAGCCTATCGTGTGCTGAAAAATGGCGTTAAGCACAACAACAACATCATGCTATATTTTATATCTATACTTTACACATTTCATGCTATATTTTATATCTACACTTTACACATTTCATGCTATTTTACAGAGACGACCGCCAATATGAAATTAATAATTTGGAAATGGTGTTCATCTCATAAAGAAGTTAGGAATACTTAATTGGATAACTATTGTCACGTGTTACTGCAATGTTTGTCACGGGGAAATCTATTTGACATAGAGGCCTGTATTCGTTAAAGTCCCATTGATATCAATTAAGGGTTTGGACGAAATGGTGATCTTTGCTTTGGTGTATTTTTCGCAGCTTGACACTTCCAACAGTAATCGCCGACATTTATGAAAATATATGTACTTCACTTAAAGATGGCAATTTAAGTTAGTATACACTTCCCTGTGTGAGTTCCGGTGATGAAAACGTCTCAACAACATTGTCAAATGATGTAAAAATTCTTCTAAATTTAAGTCACAGTCAAAACATCGACGCTCTCTCTGATACGTCTACATTTATATTGCAAATATTTGTCCGTTTTATCCTCAGATTTAATTAAATTCCTCAGTCATATTAATAGACAAATAGAAAGTTCCTCCACCTAAACTTGATATTTAAAATTATATTATATTATAAAGTCAGCAGATCATATTTTTGAAATTCTGAAGCTGAAGTGGATTTTGGATTAGTTTGTCATTTTATGCTTTGCATTGTGGAATGTCTCTTTGCTATGTCATCATTGCTGTAGATGGAACGACGTCAACGGGTAAACATTTCGGGTGTTTTATTTAGCACTATATGGCATTAAGTAAACTCATTTGCAATTCAAATGATGTAGCCAAAGTTACTGTTCCTTAATTATATTTTTATAGCTGTGTTGTAACTATCAAGAATAATTGGTTGATGGTAAAAACACCCAGTTGCATTGAAGTAACCAGGTGGGCGTCAATTTAAGTGACTATTTAAACTTGGTGCAAAGTTTTCTCCGAACATAAGGGCATTTCTAACCATGCCTTGAATTTTGACATGACCCCATGAGTCTTTCTTACTCTGTATGTTATTTAAACTTTCAATATGAGATTTCAAAAGCAAAGTATTTGCTCCCCCACCCCCGTCACTCTAATGTTTGGTGTCACTTTGCACACTAGCTTCTTCAGTGAACTGCTTGTCAAATGTTCTGTCCATGTTATGTTGACAACCTCAACTAACTATAAATTTTCGATTGTAGATAGCGTGAAATATCCATAAAATACTCGTCTGAAATTAATGTCCTCCCCGATTATCCCCTGCGGCAAAAGAGGCCATTTTCTCCCAATATTTCTTACAATTACAAACGTGTGTTGACATTTGTGAATAATATAAAATGTACAGTAATAAATCATTCCCGATATTTTATAAGTGTACTGTTATTGAATACTTGAAGTTGTAAAAGTTGTTCCCTGCTAGGTGTGCACGACAGAAAAGTTAGGTGTGCGATACGGAATCACGACTGAAAATCTGTATCGAACGTCATATCCGTCATATAAGATTAATGGGTATGAAATAAACAATTAATTTGCCAGGAACACGTTGAGATTTCATCTTGTATGTCTGGACAGATCACTGGCAAAAGTGATGTGTACTACTACTACTACTACTACTACTACTACTACTACTACTACTACTACTACTACTACTACTACTACTATTTTTTTTTTAAAAAAAAAAACAATATTGTTTATATTGGTGTCACTAGCGAGTTGCGGGGGGATGAGGGGAGGCGGACCGCACCGAGTGATCAAAAGAATAATAGTGTCCATTAATTAGCTTACTAATTGACATACAGATATTACATTCGGTGTCTACATTCATCTCTCATTATAGGTATTCAGTTTAAATACCATTTATTACCGCAAAAGTTTATGTGTAGAAAAAAAAAAAAACTTTTATTTATAAAAAAAAATCTAAATTGATAGATGTCTTATTACTTACATTCTACTCACCAACCACTTGAGTGGAATATTAAGAGAATGACTATCAGATATTTTTGTCAAGTGGATGTTTGCGGGCTAAATGTTTGCACGGGTAAAGGGACCGTACCATGCCGCTGTTCCAGTCTTAAGAACACGCTATATACATTAACTCGAATCTGATCACCTACTAGCGAATGCAGCTGCATTTATGATTCTCTCCAGTTTTAAGAAGTTAAATATTAGAAAACACTGAAATAGCCTGGCGATGTAAATGATGTATACCTATTCCTTTTTTCCTCTACTCTTTCTTGCATTTCCGTTAATTTTCTGACCACAAATTAAGTCTAAAAGCACCTAATTACGAGCGAAGTTCGTCGTAGGTGCAAGATAATGATCTAGTACTACTTAGTGGTTAGCAATCACGTAATTACGAATTGCAGGATCTAGTATCTCTTAACTGAGTTAGCTATTTCGTAACTACAAATTTGGATATCGTTTTTTACAGCTTTGTCTCTCATAATCGTGTGTTAGTATCTCATATTTACAGTACATCATGAATTTCCTTTATGAATATTATTTCGTTACTTTTAAAGTTATATTAACGAGATATTAAATCATAATTAACAAGTTCTAACTCGTAACTGAAAGGGTGCAAATTGCTACCAAGGGGTTATCAATCGAAGTGTGTTCTAAAGATGTTTGGGGCATAACACCATTTTTCAGCACACGATACATGGCGGCCAGTATTAATGGTGGAGGAAGAAACCGTGTAATTCGCGTAAAGAACTACCGACCTACGAGAAGCTACTGGCAATCTTTCTCAAATATCCACATTCGCAGAAACTTACACTCGAACCCATGTTCTTGGTCAAGGGACTTTACTCTAATTGCGACTGAACCTAACCACCACTTATAAGACAGCAAGGAGAAGGATCTAAAAATGTTGTTGTTTTTGTTATTTTGGGGCTTAACCACATTTTTCAGCACACGATAGGCTATACCTGGCGGCCAGTATTAATTTGTGGAGGAAAACACCGGGAAATCCGCGAAAAGAACCACCGATTCACGAAAAGCTACTGGAAAGCTTTCTCACATATCCACATTCGCCAAATCTTAGACTCGAACCCACGCAGACAGAGGTGAGATGACAATATGTAATGGAGAGCGCTTTAAACCACTCGGCCACTCGGGGCCCCGACCTAAAGATGTTAAGACACCTGTACTGATGTACTGCTTTGTAGAGAATGTCTATTTCTTTTGACACTAAGGTTTCAAAACTTTTTCCGTCTTTAATATACGGAGGAATGTACCATTAGTTGAGCAAAGTAATATCGTATAATTATCCTCTCTTCCCAACACACAACTGTTGCGGCCTTTAGCTCTGCTGGACTATACCATTAATTACTACGTTACCCGC